AGACCAGATGGCGGCGTTCTGGATGGACGGTTTAAAGCGCTTCACAGTGAAGTATGCTCACCTTACCTTGGCCAGCCTGTTACATCCTCTCAGGTTTAACACCCTCTACAGTGTGGACTACCTGTGCAGGACAGCAGCCTTGCACAAGTATGGAAAAAAACCCCAGTTGGCAGTCATTAGGTGGTGATGATTCATTGCCCTGGGGGACTTCAGAACTCCTGGGAAGGTTGCTTATGCTGTAAAACTAGAAAAACTAGTAGAACTTTGTGCTTTTTCATGACCAGCTGGTGTCAATCTTTAACCTCTCCTGCCAGTAGAAAAGGATCTGTCTGAATGTAAGGTGTCCATTTTGGCAAGTTTTCATCGGAGCATTTATGTAAATGTATCAATTTATGTAAATGATCTGATGCACGGTCAGTCCCCTCTAACTACAGAGTTGGATCGTCTCGTAGGTCCACCTTCATCGTCCCCCACATTCATGTTTCTGTTTATTTGGGTGTCAGATATGGATTCAGTGAGACTGAAAAACTAGGTTGTGTTCTAACATTGACCACTGTCAAGTAATACGGACTCTAAGTGCCTTTTCAATTGCAAACCTCCCACTGCATGACTGTGGTGTGAAGATCAGAAAAATAAAACTTGTGGTGGATCAAATTGAACTGAATAAGTCACATTGATGGACACATCAATCATGCCATTAAATGCACAGTAAACAATCATATTCATTCAACATAAATGTCAACATAAGTCACCTATCCCAAACCTGTGTGAACAGGGGGACTGTATGTGGATGACATACTGAGCCAGGGGCTGAAACTGGAAATCCAAGCAAAGAGTGTGAAGATATGATAGATGACTCTGAGATGACTCCCGTAAACAATTTCACGAAAGACTGACGCAATCGCTTGTGTCTACACTATGAATATTGCACCACAAGCTGATTTTAAGAACTAAACCCAAATAGATGTAAGGATACAGTTCTACCAAAGGCAGAATGGTCAGTGCAATCATTTTCCCAATAACATATGGCTGTGAAACCTGGACACTGATAAAGGCAGACAGGCAAGGGATAGATGCATTTCAGTAGTTCTGCTGGAGACGTCTGCTACATCTTCCGTGGACAGCTAGAGTGACAAACCAAGCAGTTCTGGAACAGATCAAACTGAAACTCTCATTAGAGACTAAGATAACAAAACAAAAGCTCTCCTACTTTGGACGCATTATGCAAAGTGAAACACCGGAGAAGGACGTCATGCTTGGAATGGTTAGTGGCAAAAGAGGAAGACGACGCCCAAGAACTCACTGGCTAGACAACATCAAGGAAGATGCTGGACTGAGTATAGCAGAGTTGAAAGAGTGCGATGTATAGGAAGACATGGAAAGCAATGATCCATAGAGTGACCAAGAGTCGTACTCGTTTGAACTGAAGATGGAGATGATACAGTTCTAAATGTAGTGGAAGATGCTTCCAAACAGACTCTCTTCTGCAAAACAGAAGGGTTTGGTCTCAATGCAGCTACACATCATGCTAAAATAAACTCTGAAGTACTGGATCATAAACAGCATCAATTTGCCTTTGTGTGAAGGTGGAGGAGGGACATGGGTCTTACTGGACAAGGCCACACCCCCCATTTTGAAGCATCCTTGCAATGCAAAAACACCCCCCCCCAATTACCAGAAGATGATGTGCAGTTACTCTTTGTACTTTCGCCAGCTTATTCTTTAGAGAAGGCTCCTCAGAAGAATCTTTTAGCCAGAACTGAAGGTATGCATTGACGTCACCTTCCCGCTGGAACACTCCTGTTTAGACGGACTGATAGGCATGCTGCAACATGGCTGATTTTAGTCAGGAAAACTGCAAAACAAGCAATTATCTACTTAACTCTCACGCCTACCCTGGGGTCAAATTGACCCCAAAAGCACATGTCAGGTGTTTCTCATAGTAACATAATTATTGTAGGAGCATGTGAGACTTAAATTAAAGGACAGGGATCTGTACCACCTAACAAAGGACCAGTGGACCATGGACATTGATATGTGACCAGGAATCAGGTTTCCTGACAACAATATGTTGTAGAAATTTTTGTAGAATATTTGTAGAAATTTTTCTGGATAACTGTAAACTTGCTCTGTAGGGTAGCTGGTTTTAAGGCTTTGTCTTGGCTAGCTAGCACCATCGAAACATTCCAGACTTTGTTGAACACAAGGCTCATAATCAAGGATGTTTTCTAATATATGTTCACAAAATTAAACAGTTAATTTTAGTTAAACAGAATATAAATGATACTAAATAGCTTAAGGTATTTTACCGAAAGATCCAAAATAACTGACACAAAATGACAACCTCAAATCCACATTTTGGAGCCTGGTTTCCAGTCGTTTCTGCGAATTGCAACAATCCATTTATTTCTTTTTTTCTTTAGTTTTCAGAAGTCTGTAAAAAAATTAACTGACTTCTCGATTTCAAAATCAGTCACACAACAGCATGTTTCCATTTTAGATGTGTTTTTTGCAGCAACCTAGCTGAACGCTAATGCTGCCACTCAGTCTTCTTGCCATTCAGATTTTAACCACAGTGACATCATGTGCACACCCTCTATAGCCCTATTATTCAAATCACGGTCCTTGAGGTCCGAGCACTGCTGGTTTTCCAGCCTTCCTTTACCTGTGAGCCAGGTGTGAAGTCTCTGACCAATCAGAATCAGTAATTATTAAACTAACTACCTGGGAGAACTAAAAACAAGGCCTGGATTTGGAATCGAGGTCCAGATTTGAAGAACCCAGCTTTATAGGCTCCAGAGCCCTGTGCCTTCTGTCCACCCCGTGTTTCCAAAGCATTCCTCTTCCCACTTTCATGAGCTCAAATACGCTACCTCTTCCCAGTGAACCCCATGATAATGGGCGTCCACTCCGGCTACCAGATGTTGACTCGTCTACCTTGTGGAGGATGAGTCGTCTCTCTCCTAGGCATAGTTTTTCACATATTTGTCTGGCATCCCAAAGAGAGATTACTTTGACTGCAATCACAGCTATGTCACACTGAACAGTAATAACCGAAGTAATAACACTGAACATCTTTTTACGTGTCACTGAAGTCATCATAGTGAATAGGGATGTGAATAACTGCTGTGAGTTATCTTCTACAGTTAAGTTAGAAAATGACGGAATTCGGGTCTGACTTAATGGCTTCTCCCGCTATCACATTTTAAACATGCATGTTGCATTTGTCAATGCAGGAAGCAGATCCATTAATCCTCCTCAACTCAAATCTCCCAAGTGGATGAACACTACAGGAATTCATGAATATACTCAGATTTATTGCTTACCACATGAATATGCCTTGCTTTACGACAAAATTTAAAAAATACCAAAAATTTGCCTAAGTCTACTGTTTAGAGAACATTTTCAATTACGTCTGCTGAGTCTGTAAGATTAAGAAATGCATTTAAATAGGGCTGTCAAAATTAACGCGTTGCAATTATTTACATAAGAACATAAGAACATAAGGAATTTACAAACGAGAGGAGGCCATTCGGCCCATCAAGCTCGTTTGGGGAGAACTTAACTAATAGCTCAGAGTTAACGCAATTGATGATGTTATCATGTAGTGCATTATGGGTAACCATATAAACCATATTAATGATGACGACATTTTTTTAGTACTGTTGTTATATCTGAAATATACATTGTTTGTACATGAAAATCCTGGAAAAATCATTTATGTAATTAAGAAATCATGTTTTCCAAACCAGAAAGTTCTGGAAACTTCATCGGAGTTTTGAGAACTACGTTTTTTATCGATTAATATTCACAGTCTAACCCCGTCTCTCTCGAGGAGTATCTTGATTATGTTTTCCATGTGAGTGCAGGTCAGGAGTGTGGAAGGCTGTTGGGACAGAAAACAAGAGAAAATATGTCTCAACGTGGCATTTTTTCCCCTCTTATATGTCTGGACATGGCATTGGCATTAAAAAACGCATTTAAATATCGGTCAGGGTACAAATGTACGCGTTAAAAAGGTCTTTCAATACTAAGCTATACTTAGGCTAATATTTTTCTATTCAAGAGCAAAGGGATCAGTGCTATACTGGCTGCTGTATCGTGTCTCATGTATTGAATTCTTATTGCCATACGATAACATTTCGGATTTTAATTGTAACCGATACTCAACATTTGTAAAAATTTCAATGTAGAGGTTCGCTGTTTTGTCTGATATACCGAGTAATATGCCTAAATTGGAACAAGGGAAGTAAAAGGCAAAAATCTGTGTGAATTTATCAGTTACAAACTTTTGTGCTAAAACACTTTTGCGTATGCCATTCCCCTGACGTGATATAAGCCCGGTATATATGCATTATAAATCACAAAAGAATGAAATAAAATGTTATCTTGAAGTGTATCCAACATGTTATGTTGTCATACATCTAGTGTGGTCTTGTGGACAATGCTAAAAGAAATATTTTACACTTGAAGAGTAGAATATGTAAACACCATATGAAGTCCAAATATCAGATGGTAGAGAAGATACGAGTGTGCATGCGTGTGCAATGGTGTGTTGGTGTTTGAGACGCCAAAGTGCACTTTGCACATAAACTCTTAATTGTGGTACCTGTGAAAAAGCTTGCTCTGCTATGAGTACAAGCTAGCAGAGAAAATAAAGATGTGTGTGTGTGTGTGTGAGAGAGAGAGATGAGAGTTGGTGTCATTCAAGTGGTTACTGAAACACATTTAATATATAAAATAAACTTTCACAAACAAGAAAAGCCAACCTGGCCCCAGATAGATGAGAGGCTTCTCTGCATCTGCAGCCAAGCCGACACACTGCTTGCTCCACGGTCACCCTCTTCTCCCAGTGGTCTCACCAACATCCTCCCAACACATGGCGGCTTTAACCAGTCGGTAATCTCTTCACAGGCCAGGGGTGGCTCTCGTTGAGCATAATTCACAAACGGTGCCGCCCAGCAGACAGCGTGGCACATGAAGGAGGAGGTCCCCTCAGCAAAGTTTTGTACAAGCTTTATTTACAAGTGGATGAACAGCTGTACATTCTCGTATGGCAGGAAGCACGTCTCGTCTCTCCTGTGACCTGCTCCTCTCCCAGCACCTCTCACTTACAGTATGTACACCTTGTATACAAGCAATATAAAACTTGGCAAATGGAAGGTATTTGCTACTTATAAATGTCTACTTAAAAATAAAAACCATCGATATTTAATTGTCTGCATCTCAAATATTGAGGCTACACATTCTATGTTGTGTTGACGTACTCCGATCATGGACGGGTAAAGGACCACAAACTCGATTCCGGTACGGTGACCCATGATATTCACATGCCCAAAGGGACAGTTTGTTAGTAAACATGTCATACTCTGCTCTGTTCGTGGCCGTGCGTCGACACCATTTCACCCCAACTGGACTCAGATGCTTGTCAACTGCTCACCATACAAAACACACATGTGAAGCAGATAGGAGTAGAAGGCATCAGGCTGCAGCAGGGGATGCCGTGAGCGCAGAGATGTGTTGTAGCACATCTGAGGTAAACGCACTTCAGAAACGACGCGGAGGATCTGGATGTTCCCGGTCAGGCCGCAGCACCACCCCTCCTTTGGCCGATCGGTAAGAGTTTACAGTGAATCTCCTGGAAGGCGGGTAACTCAAGCCCTGGCAGCACTGGGTCATGTCGTAGAGCAGGCTGCCTTTCGACGAGGATGTTGCCAAAACGTCCCATCGAAGGTGCAGATGAAACGAAACCACTGAAGGTGTCTGTGATACAAATACTGCTACTGAGGTACAAAGGACAGGGTTCTGAAGAACGACGGCACAGAACTGAAAGGGAGACACAGCTTGTGACGCTTACTCTGCCCAAGCGAGTGAATGTCATACCATACACTTGGACAACAGGAGATGCATAACAAATAAATACAAGTGGAGAGTACAGGTAGGAAGAAGTCTATCCAATTTTGGTTAGTCTTGGGGTTTTACACGGTAGCAGCAAGAAGTAGGCATACATCCTACAGATCACTACCATTTTGGATTTGTCTTTCACAAAAATAAATAACGTTAAAAGAAGAACACACACAAAAATGTTCCGAGCATAGCTGGAAGCGTAATTCTAAGGCTTGTTAGGGTCAATTAGTCCATCTGATGACCGTCACAAGGCTGGTGTCTCACTAAGAGGGTCGTTAAACCTCCACTGGAAAGCCTGTGTCAGCTGGAACACTTCCACCGGTACATCGTTAATTCGGGAGCGAAACACAAGCAGTCAAAGCTGCGATAAAGCCTGACTTCATCAAGTGAAGTCTGGGGAACTGATGGAGGACAGTATCAGTGTTGACGGGCTGCACAGAATCAGTGTGGCCTGACTGGAATGCGGAGGTTCAGCAGCACGACAAGAACGTCCCCGAGTGGAGCTGGCGGCCTTGCAGGCCTCTGTCCACTGAGGACACTGCCGTGAGGGTGAGCTATTAGTCTGATTGGTTATTTTCAGGATCAGCCCAAACAAAGTCATGCAAGCAGCCATGCAAGCAGCCCCGAACCCTGCCAGGATCATGCAATCACGTCACTGCAGAGAAGAGAGAAGACAGGCAGTGGTCAATCAAACATGGTCACATTCATCCCACCCAGGTGAGGAACAGTGTTAGACCAGCATTCATTCTTCATTGAGCAAAACAGAAATCTGCCCACTATGACCAGGAGGGTGTGAATAGTTACAGCTGCAAATGACATTGATAAGAAAGGGACAGGATGGACACCAGCATTAATGGCACAAACACTACGAGTCACTCTGCTGTGTTTTACACGGTGCTTTCTGAAACGAGGAAATCATGATTTCATCAAACTCAGCTCCTTCTCAAAGAAGCAGACGAGCTGTGAAATATGGCCAACTCTAGTCCGTAACTGCACTCGGATTGGCCACACCTGTGGCTTGTTTTGATAGGCCAATAAATGAATAAATGAATTTAGAGCACCGGAAAAGGGCAATTGGGGCTTTGGTTCTGTCTGGCTGTCAGTGTACGTTACTGGAAGACCACTTTTCACACAAATGAAGAGTTCATGCACCCACACAAACAGCAGGCCACCCAACTGACTGACAGTGGGTGAAACCTGAATTTAGGCAGGAAACCCCACTGACAGGGAACAGGCTGGCTTCCAGCTGCATCACACAGATTCAGCCCGAAACTGGTTGTTCACACTGACAGCCCCACAGCAGCACAGGTGGAACAGTCCTGAATAAAATCACACTGCTCATTCGCAAAGGGACACTTAAAAACTTAAAAAGCCCCAGACGGGTGGTGCCTCAGGGGGGCCATTCCTGAGGGTCTACGATTGAGGAGTAAAAGGTAATTTTCCGAGTGAGTTTCGGTCCTCAGAATTCATCAAGGCTTACCTGAGACTAGTTAAGCCTCAGAAATAAACACAACTGTCGACTATACACAGACACGACCAGGGGACACTTCAGAAAGCAGGATTTCCAAAAAGCTGAGATGTTCCTGAGTGAGCCACCGAGTTGGAAGCTTGCTCATATATCAACGTGGGAGTAACTGGGCGGACAGCATGAGAAGGCATGCTGTTTGGGTCCTTTGTGAGAAGGTCTGAGTGACTGCAGCCGTGCCCCACGTTTCCTCTGCGGTAGAAACGCGTTTCTCAAGCATAACCACACCTACACTGAGGCAAACAAAAACACAGACCATACATGTATCTGAGGTTCGTCACGGATTAACTATTGCACTGTCAAACGCACCATAGTTTTAATGGTGAGCAGGACCCAGAGCATGCAAACCCAGCCAGCGAGCATAAGGCACCTTGAGCAGCTGGAGATTTTGCTAGCATATTTAATAACATTAGCATGTAGCATTAGCATGTCCCTTAGGTGGACCTTTAGGGGTCTGTTTAAAGGCACATCAAGGCACCCTTAAACACCTCTAAATGACCCTGTAGTACTAACTACCTGACCTATGTATTGCACAGGTACAGGTACACCCCATCATCCTGTCTGTGCCGCTGCCATGATTGGGATCCATCGGGATAGTGATCCAACACCCTCAAAAATGACCATGACTGCTCAGGACCAGGCTGAATCCTCGGATTTAATCCCCAGGTCCTATGCTGTCACACTCCGTGACTGGATATACTCCCAGCTAGCGGACAGCCCCATTATGGCAGTAAGACTGAGCATGAGAGCAGGTAGGCTGGAAGGATGCTTGTGCGAATTCAGCGCTGCTCAGCACACTGACATAAGGCTGCTCTATAACACTGATACCACTGCATAGATGTGGGAAATTCAGAAATCAGAACTAGGGCAAGATAAACCCCTTAGACACCCTAAGCAAACATCACTCGTTATTCAAACTGCCTCCTAAAGCAGGATCAAAGGAGAAAAACAAAGACACGGTGACCTATTTCATAGCGTACTGCTCCTTTAAACTTAGGGCTACTTCAGGTTTGACCTCGAGGCAATGAAACGCGACGTACATATAAATACTGCTTAATGGAAGCGCTCAACAAAACCAGCACTTTAAAGGAAAGCTCTGCTGAATACACTGTAAAATATGGCAGACTTAACAAAAACCACGACTGTGAGTAACTAAGCACAGTTTTCAAAAGGTGAGTACATAATACCTTAAAAAAGCAAATAATACTCTATCAGGAAAATTAACCTGGATAACGTTCATGGATAATTCAGAATGGCAAGGAAGCGAATACCGAATGGAGGCATTCCGATCACTCTGAGTGTCCAAAGCAATCTCCGCTGTGTCTCCGCTCGACTATGCATTGCACCACGTATGTGTAACTAAAACAATGAAAACTCATCAGTGCCAACCATCTAATTAAATGTGCAGGTTAATAGGGTAACAAAACATAAAGAATTAGTTGGCTGCTGCTGTGTTAGACCTCTAACTTCAAAAACTAGAAATGCGTCAACTGTACATTTGTATAAACCAAGTAACGAGATAAAATATTAAATGACTGGCGCCTGATCTTAACCACCTGTCGCGGGCATGTAAACCCGGAGAGCACGCGCACATTTCCCACAGTATTCAGTGAACGGAGGCTAAGCAGCAAGACCCGGGTCCTTCGTCGCTAGAGCGCACTTTCCGGGCCGCTGGGACGGCGCCCCCCAGCCTCCCACGGGGCGCCTGGGCTCTACCTGGCTGCGGCGGGCTGCACGTGTCCCGGGTACGAGCGCCGGCTGCTCGTGGCCTGTCGCTGGCGTGCCAGAAAAGACTGCCCAGAACCGGTGCTGGCTAGTCGGTCCTCCGCTGCCTTCTTCTGTAGAGCCATCCCCTGCAGACAGAGGGCGCTGACGCTCAGCCTTACACGCTACAGCGACCGTGACGGCGGGGCGGGAGTGGATCGGAAAGGGGCGGTCAGGAGATATGTTCAGGCATGACAGCAAAGGCACACCCGTCACAGAAAGAGCAGATTTTGGGTGCGGGCCATACCGGTCAGGGACTGACAAGGGTTCAGTGACAGCAGCTCTGAAAGGCGCCGTATATTCACTGAGAGCCCAAGCCCGGCGTGTGGGTGTGCCCTGTCAGCACAAACGCATCTCCGTGCTCCACCCTCGCTCCCCACGCCACTGCATCTCCACTCACCATGTTGTACCAGGCAGACACAATCAGCTTCTCCTCCTGGTCCCGTTGCGTTTTAGTCTTGTCATATTCTTTCTGCAAGAAGGTTAAGACACGATCGGTAACAGGTGGCTCATACAGCCAGTTTGGGGAAGTGGGCCCAGGCCTGGAGACCCACGGGACCAGCCCTGAGCCCTGATTGAATATGCAGTACGCTACTGTGCGTTTGTGAATATGAATATGGCTGTTCTTCATCGTTCGGGTCAGCACCCACCTCTAGGGAATGTAGCATCCGTTCTTTCTCCTGTAACTGGTTCTTCAGTGCCTGGACCTCTGGCGCAGACCCCTGGTTCTGTTTGGGATCTAATGTTCGAATAACCTAATAAAAAAAAAAAAAAACCACAATATATAAAGGCAATATAAATAAAAATAAGGGACTGTTAATAAAAGCCATCTGGGGTTAAACTTATAAATGTTTACCGGCTTTGACAGACCATAACAGGAAAACTATTCTTAATTAATATGCTTATTCATCTGCTTGTCTGAAAAACTTCATGTATACTGGTAATGTCATCCTTTAAAAGGGCTGAGAATGTGCAACAGCCCTCACAATAAGAGCACACCTTAAATAAAAATCCAGAAATGGACTATGACGTTACCGTTGCCTCCCAGCCTAGTCAATAAATTAAACCTGCCTCGTCAATCAGGGTAAACAGCCATGTAAATTACACTACGCGGAGGAGAAGCGTTTTGTTCGGAACAACAAAACAACAGCTGGGAAATTATGCTTAATGTACAACTAAAGCGGGACGTACAAACGAGGCGTTTTCTGACGCTTCTGAAGCTCTCGGCTCCCTAACAGGAGGTAATCTGAGCATCGACGCCCACAGACGAGCACAGTGGGCACAAAGGGGCCATCTCAGGCGAGCTGGGCGAAGCAGCAGCTATGATATTAATTATACTGGCAGAAATCTAAGGGTGTGACACATGAGGGATTGTGCTGAATGAGTCAGGGATGCCACCAAATGGCCAATATGCACATAACCACAAAAAGCTTCAGTCAAAAAAAAAAATAAAAAAATAAAATTTAAAGTCTGCATCTCCCTATAACCTGAGTGTGTCGGGAACCCCCCCCGCCCCCCCCAACCCGACGGACCACCCAGAAACCCCACGTACGCTCTTGGCCTTCTCCAGGTACTTCTTGTATCTCTCTTCCATCTGTTTCATGTCCTCATCCTTCTTCTTCAAGGCTTCCTCCAGCTCCTCCACTTTCTGGGCTGAAGCAGACAGGATGCTTGTGTGAATCACACGCGCTGCTCTGCATGCACATCACCCCGCCCCACCGTCATCATGACTTGCGGGAAACTCACAGCTTGTGTTGTACTTCGACTCAATGTCCTCGATGTAAGAAGATTTCTTCTGAAGCTCGGCGCTAACCTCCTGTAACTTCTCCCTGTGTCAAATAACCAAAAGACCACGTTGTAGGAGTCACGTGACCTGGTGCTTGGCTTCACCACTGGGCGGAAGGTGAAGACGGAAGGGCTACTCACAGGTGGTCTTCACATTTCTTCTTCAGGATCATGGACTGTAGGAAAGGAGATGAATCAGAACCTGGGCCTTCAGTACACACAACACTGAGGTGACGGTGAATGAAACATTCAGGCCTGTTCTCCTCCAGACACATGCCAACCTTCACAGCACCTCAGAAGGGTCTTACTTACACTCAACACACCACAGATACCCCAGACAAATTTTAATTTCATTTATGGGGTTATCCTTCTACCTGAAAACATTTAACCCAGACCACCTTGGAAACGTGTCTCTCTGACTATGCATAAACCTGGGAATCAACAGAATAAACCTTAATCTATGCCCTGCTGAACTCCTGGAGGGGCGAGTCCTCATGTCCTACCCATCCAGGATGGAAACCTGAAGCTTCTATTACTGCTTGACATCCTCTGGTGTAGAACAGCTAACATTAATGATGGACATTAAAGCAGACATCACAAAAATGAGAGAAGTAGATTACAAGCTCCCTGCATCCAGTGTGGAATCAGCAGATGGTGGACACTGAAACTATCATCATCACACTCAATATCCGAAAGGCAGGCATGAACAAACGGGTCTTGAGTCTTATCGCTCTCACTGGGCTGACCTCCTCAGAGATGTGACACCATGCTGACCTGGGTCTTAAGACCCCTAATACAGCGATCTCCTCCTCCGCATGCAAGATGGGATGCAACAGCTAAGGCAGATTCAAAGAATTCACACTCACTGATGATCTCTAACCCTAATAAATAAGCATAAGCGAGGATGAACGGATGCAGGGATAAACTGACAGAAGGACAGACAGGAGGAGGGCAGAATAGATGAACAGGACAGAGATACAGGTGTCATGTTCCAAACATGGACACCGACAGCTCACTTCACGTGCCGCCTTAACACTCACATCACTCGCTGCAGAGCCCTGTTCCTGGAGAGTCTTCTGGAGGTCCTCCACCTGGGACTGCCCCTCCAAAAGCCTCTGGTTGACAAGCCTGAGAGAGGAGACAGAGCATCAGTGAGCCACGTGACCCACATGGCTGCGCTCTGTGCCGGCGGTGGGAGGGGCTTCGGCCCGGGGACCCACCTGTTCTCGGTCTCCAGTTCGTTCTTCCTGCTGTTGGCGTCCTCCAGCAGGCTCTGCAGCAGGGCGATCTTCTCGTTGTCGGAGCCCTCTTGATTAAGCTTCAGCATCTTGTTCTCGTGTTGCAGTCTGATGAGCCGCTCGCTTTAGGGCAGATGGCACAGCACGGTTTACTGATGTAAATCCCCCCCCCCCCCACCAAGGCGTTCTCATTAAGGAGCCCATTCCGAATTTGCGATCAAATTGAATCAGTGCGCGTGTCATTGTTACCGAATTTCAGGTGTGACGATTTCTGCTGCCAGAGAGTCCGATGTCTCACTGCTGACCAAGGGGACCAGGCCTAAGAGGAGAAGAAGACGTGCAATAAGAAGAACAAATCAGAACCGATATGCTGAGTGTACTGAAGAAGGGGGTCCTGGTGACCCATGTCCAGCTTCTAAGCCTAGTCCCCATAAGTTACAGATCCAACCGGCCAACTATCTCCTCTGGTTCACAGGCCGAAAAATAAGATAATCCCAGCATTTTCCTCTGTGAATCAAGCTAAACATCATTCATGACACTCCGACTGCTGCAAACATCAGGAAGATCTCGTGCAGCGATCACATGGCTCTGACTTTCATTGATTCTGGATGACTCTTAGCATGTAGCTGAGCGAGACCCAGGAGACGAGAAAATACCTGCGGTTAGCTGCCCCTCCTGTGCCTGAATGCAGCGAAGCTCCTCGATGGTGTCCTTCAGAGAGTCCCGCTCTGTCCGAAGACGCTGAGCATAGATACGACAGTAAGAACTTCGCTCCTTCGGGGCGTAACCTAAGTGGGTTTGGAATACTGCTACCCTCAGAAAGTGGGTCCTAACCACCACAGTGGGAGGGATGGCGCTAATCTACGCCGAAACGGTCAAATTCAGATAGACCAAAGTGCAAAAGCGGTCAGCCCCAGCGCTTAGTCACATGACCCCATGCCGATCCCGTCAAACAACAACGCATTACGTCTTTCTCCTTCAGAAGGGAGTCCACTTTCTCCTTCAGGCGCTTGTACTCAAACTCCATCTTGTCAGCTTTCTTGGACTCCTCTGACAGTCTGTTCTGCAGCTCCACCATCTGTACGGGCAGAGAAAACACACGGTTCGCAGACGGGTTGTGGACAGACGGCTCAGGGTACCACCAAACGGACATGCCGTGTGTCACCCTTCAGCGAGTGACTGGTGCCGCCTGTCTCCACACCAGCTACCCACATGCTGTGCTCTGCATACTTATCTCCGCCTACAGACCCATCCAGTTCATCCATCTGTGAGCTAAGCTGCCAGCTGGCTGATTGAGTGACTGAGTACCTGTCTCTTGTAGGTCTCCAGCTGTCCCCGAACAGAGTTGGCCTTCCGGAGCTCCTCCTCCAAGCTGACTGTGTTCTGCATGTACATGGTGTTCTTCTCCTCCAGGAGCTTCACCTGTCTTCTCAAATCCCCCAAGTCTTCCAACTTCTTTTTGTAGGAGTCAACTATGCCTTCCAGCTTGGAGACTTTGTCTGAAGAATGCCTGTCACAAAAACACAACTTTAGTAAGACACTTCCCACCTAGAGAAAACGAAATGATCAGATTTATACCTGAGCAAACTAAATATGAACCTGAAGGGATTAAAGACTGAGTTCTGTGAGGTTTGCTAGACTGCCTGCTCTCTGTTCCAAGCCTTCATCATTCACACAGACATGTCTCACCGAAGAATGTCTATTTCATCCTTCAAGGACTGAGCTTCATCTGCCAAAGACGTAAGATCTTCGTTCTGTCCCCGGAGCTCCAGCATCTCCTTCTCCAGCTCCTCACAGCGTATCCTGTAGTCATCCTTTGCTGCTTCCAACCTGAAAGTAACACCCAACTCGCTTGGTGTACTCAGGAGTGGCCTGAGACTCTTACCATGCCACCTTCCTTAAGGCCAAGACTGCTTACCTGAAGGTCTCTTCCTGGAGCTGCTCCAGCTGCGTCTGCAGCTGCAGGTGCCTCCTCCCAGCAGGACTGTTGAGGTCCTCGATGGAGTCTGACTGATTTAGCCTCTCCAGGAGGACCTGATTCTCTGCCAGCAGACTGCCTTTCTCTTCCTGCAGTGCTGCCACCTACAGGCAGGGACACTTCACTGTTGACGATGCCACCAAGCCCCTCAAAGCATTCATCCCACCAATCAAGATATACTGAAAAATACATCCAAGGTCTGCTCATATCTTCCTTTTTAATGCTAAACAAAGCAGCATCATATGAAACTGTTTGCCAAATGGCTCGAGTCCTAATTTACCATTACAAAAGGAAGCTCACTCCCCAATATATATTTAGAATTACTGGTAATTTAAATAAAACATAAACGTCACACACGAGAATGGAAAACAGGACATTTCAGAGAGTTTTAGTGCCTATATGACATCATGCAGTTCAGGTGGCTGCTGTATGTGATGGAGAGAGAGAGAGTGGAGTACCAGAAGCGTCCACACGAGGCAGTATGGCAGCAAAGACATTAGTCTGACAGCACATATCTGGAAGGGGAGCAGGTCTGCCCTGTACCTGTGCTACAAGCCACAGACAGACAGCCCTACAGAAGAGCCAAAGGGCTTCAGAAAAACTCATAAACTGATACTGCGGAAGCAGGTGAGAGAGCAAACCAGAACGTACTTTGCTAACTGCCGCATGTCATCAATATTTTGCCAAAGTAACATCCTACTTAATACAAGCTAATTTCCTTGATTTCAAGCCTGCCTTATAAATTACTGCCTTAAAGTATGTACCGTGACCTTCACGTTATGATCTTTACTGTCTATGAATTATTAGTAGACATTAATGGCACCAGTACCCAAGAGAAATATGGGATTGGCCTTTTGGATAATACTCATCTTCCAAGTTTTCAGGTAAGACAAGTACTTCAAGACTGTTAAGTTGCCAAAACTCCTGGAAGAAACTGAGGCGCTACAGAGATTTGGTTTTGGCCTTTTGGATAATACTCATCCCACAAGTTTTCAAGTAAGACGAGTCCTTCAGGAACATTAAGTTGTCAACACTCCTGGATTAAACTGAGGCACCACGGCTACAACTACTTACTGGCTACCTTCCTAAAGCCCTCCCGAAGTGCAAATCCCTATTGGCTACTTTCCTAAACCCCTCCCAAAGTACAACAACTCCTTATTGGCTGTTTTACTAAAGCCCTCCCAAAGAGCAGCGACTCCTTATTGGCTGTTTTACTAAAGCCCTCCCAAAGAGCAGCGACTCCTTATTGGCTGCCTTCCTAAAATTCTCGCATAGTACAGAGTGATGACCGAATTCCACACTGATGCCTATTCATTCAGATCCAGCCCAGAAATTTGATAGCTACTGGCTGGGATGCTCGGAACATTCTTAAAACCTGCATTTTCACTGTGCTGCATATTGATATCCAAAGATCATAAACCGAAAACCCAAAGAGGAAATAATAGCTTTGAAAATTTTCAGCAATTAGCCATACAGCTCTACCCATTCATTTTAAAATTACTTGTATAAAATTTAGTAAATAGCCAATGTTGTTTTGGGTCGGTTTTATAATCAGGTGATGGCTTTAGCATTGCAGATCATGAGAAGTGTCCTACTCAGGTTTGTAGCAGCAGGCCTCATTATGGAATCTGAACTGACAATCTTCAGACCCCCACCCCCCCCCCACCAGCATGCATGACCATTTAACAGTTCTGAGCTATATGGGTGACATTTTAGAGCAGGGAGACAAATTGCAAAGTGAATCATCGGCATTAATATGGAAATTATTAGGTGCCAAAATAAACTGAAATGTCAAGACTATCAAATCCTAGAAATGACCATGGAGAATTACATATATTTAGGTCATTATGTGACCTGTGCCTGCCAAGCAACACACTCGTGAGTAAGGCATCTGGTAGGCAGGGTCATCTGAAACCTTATGGGGGGGGGGGGCATTGCCCTGTATAGATGAATGGGGGTCAACTAGAGATGTGCGGTAATAAAAGAGGTAACGTTAAAACATCCAATTGTTCCTGATTACACCATATTGATTAATTGATTAGCATGTTAAAGGCCATCTGTTGGAGGGGGGATTTCACACTAAGCCCCCCAGGCTCCCTCACCCCGTGTGGCTGCATGACGGACATTGGTGTTAGAAGGCTGCACGTGGGCATTAGAGGCGAGCCGAGACACACAGCTGAGCCGGACAGGACATTTGATGTGCACACAAAGTTAGAGCCTGGATTTCTTTGGGATGCTGGTAAAAGCAGGTGAAAAATCCAGGGCTTTCAAATGCCAACACTCAGAGAGAAGAAAAAGCAGGATTTACCCTCTCCTCTAGTTCATTATACTCTAACCTCAGTCTATCTCGCTCTTCTTGGACAAGGTATGCCTTGAAAGGCAGAGCAGAGGACACAGCAGTCAACCAGGAAGCCACATATACACAAACAACAGCGGGAGAAAACAGTGACAGGTTCACAGTACAGCTAAAAGAACGCATTGAAAAGAGGGGCACCTCAGGTCAATAGCCAGCAGAAGGCCCTGCAGGCGAGATGAGAGAATTATCTGTGAGCTTGGAAACCTTTAAGGCAAACTGTTTTTCTGCCAAGGACTTTACAATGCAGCTGAATTCAGTGCAAAGAAATGAATAAAAAAAAAAGAGAGAAATAAGCATCGGACTGATTTAAGGGGAGACGATACATAACCAAATTAGCCTCCACACATAGGCCTCCGCTGAACGGGGACTCCTGGAAGTGCCAGGACCAGCACAACAGGGCTAATCTTCATCAGCTAAAACCCAACTAAGAGGGCAGCTGGGAACCCGGCACTGATGCAGGGCATCCGAAAAGCGGACAGCTCGGTGATTAATAAACCCATAAATACTACCACTCCACATAAAAAAAGGACACTAAAAGTTAGAAAAAGTGGGAAAACTGTATGACTAATGTGTCAAAAGGTTCGTATTGACAGAATCAGTGCTGTACAGAAGCATCTGGTGGGCTGTGTGGCTTGGAACCCTACGTAAAGTAACTAACTGGTGTGGAAACTCTGGCCCATTCAAAACCCAGTAACGAGAGGCACAAGGGCCAGAAGGCGCTACATCCCGCAACGAGCAGAGGGGCTGATGCTGGGAAGGCCGGGGGGGTGTACCTGCATGTCCAGCTCGTGGCACCGCTGGGCGATCTCTTCCTTGGCTGCTAGGGCGTCGCTGAGCATCTCCACCGTCTTCTTCAGCTGAAGGAAAATAGTTGTAGAGACCACCTTATGCAACAACAAAGACTCTCTGACAGCCATGAACCCAAACCGCTCCCTACGTTACAGCTGCAAAAAGAAGCTACATAATTGTTTAGGAGAAGAACATTAATTACTTACTTGCCGGTCAAGGTCGACGTACGAGTCATTCCCCATCGCTACTGGCGTCTCTTTGCTCATCAGCTGCAGAAAGAAGGCAGAAGATTTACCCTTTGCGGGATCCACATGACGGGACGCACGCATTCAGCATGAGCGCTGGGGACACGGACTCCATACCTCCTGAATAGCTGTCATGACCACGTGTTGCACGGACTCCTCCATCATCATTATAGTCTGAATGTATTCTGTAAATGAACACGATGGGTTACAACATGACTCCTGGAAGGACTAGAGAGCCGCATGCAGAAACCTTTCCATCACAACTCTTTTGTCCTTAATCGTTACACAACCTTCAGCCTCAATCAGCAGGCCAAATTCAATGCTATCAGGTAAACCGATTCATAGCTAGGGAATCTAGAAAGCTCTGGAAAGACACGATTGTCTTTAATGGCATGGGGCAATGGCAGAGCTACTGTGATTCACACTGGTGTCCAGCACAGGTTCAAAAGGTCAACACACACGGTTCAAACATACACAGCATTAAAACCCTGCGGTCCTGAACACTCTCCATAGCAGATTTCTCTGAACCACTGAGGGCAACGTCATAAACGAACCTTGTTTCTGTTCACAGTTCACCGCACATCCAAGAATGAGCTGCAGCATTCGGCCCAGCTCGGCTGCATCAGAATGTTCCCCAACCAGGTTAACATCTGGTAGAGTGAAGTCATTGATCTGCTGGCCCAGGACCTACACACACAGTGAAAAGCATTTAGATTCTATGGCTTTTTAATATGAAAAACATCTTAATTGTAAGTAATGATTTTCACAGCAGCTTACGATCACTGTAAGCAAGTGTAGGCTACATGCCACTTGCTATTTAATTCTCAGTGCAAGCAGTTCTGGTAATAATTCAACAAAGATCGTGTGATCTGCTCAATTAGACTGTTCGCAGTTCACAAACAGCTGGACAGGTCTGATCCAGCAGGTTCATCAGAGCTCTCCCAAACGTACACTGCATGACAGCCTCACATGACATGAGCCTAATTCCCAGCTGGGGTTTTGGTTCACATCCTGTGCCTCTTAGGTTTCATACTTGCACCATAAGTTTACTCAGTATTCTGCCCAGATAATTCCACGTACGTAAGAGCAACAGCACAAATGTCAAAACTCCTAATACGCAACTGTCTGCTTACCTCATGATTATAATCCAAAATCCCCTTTAAAATTTTCTTTAAATTGCTGATCTAAAAGACAGAAGCAATGCATTATAAGCATATTTATGACAGTTTCTGTGGAAGTGCAGTGATGTCAACCTCAAAACCACAAGCCAGTCCCACTTGGGTTCTTAAAAGGTTAATTAGAAACTTTGTAAGAAGCCATTAAAGCTTCTTCATATTCAAACTCCTAAAGGCCGCGCTCTTTTTCCATCTGAGCAGCTTCAAAAATGCGTCTGAGTGGGTTACAGTAGCAGGGAAGGCTTGTAGAGCAGCTCACAAGCTGGTCATTCAGTCCTGCTCTGCCCGCGTTTGCTGTGTGGCGTTCACACGACCATTTGTCTAGTTAATCTTTTCAGGATGTTCCATGCAAGATGCTATGGAAATGTTTGTTCATTCAGGATTTCTCATGCGTTTCCTGTTACTTATTAGAATATCAAGACATCATTCTAAAAAAAAACAGGCTCAGTGGCACATTCATGCTAATTAGTTTACCTTTAGCCTCCAGTTATCGCCCACATCCGTTTTGATGCGACTGAGCCAGGCGTCGTTAAAATACACACTGTCTCTAAAATGGAAAGTTCACAATGAAACCGACAGTTTCGTCACACATGATGCCAGAGCATGGAGTTAGATGAGCTAGTTATGTTGACTTTTAATGGCAAACAACCAATTAGGGTTTTATTCATTGCAAAAGTATGGGAATATTAAAACAAACTGAATGACCCAAAAAGTAAAAAAAAATCATAAATAAATATGACAAACAGTTAAGACTATTTATCCTAAATAAGATTCTTAAGATTATCTTTTGATAAAAAAGACTGAAAAGCCTCTGGCTCGACTTAAAAAAACACTTTTAAAGAATCAGTAAAATAGAATCTTTGCCTAAGGAGTTTAAACGAATGGCAGTAAAACAGAATGTGTTTAACAGATAAGGATTTTTTGCAAGCAAGACATACAGGTAGATCTTCACTTGTAAGTAAAAACATCTGTCAGCCTTGTATGCCTTATATGACACTGATCTAACCCAATGATTGTTAAAGTTGCATGGAGACAGACTGAGAACCACTGGGGAAACTGATATGAAGCCATTTTAGCACCCTGGGCCAGATCAGTCCCACTGCATGGTGACATGGGGCCTGGTTCTGATGCATCAGCTTCATTCATTGGCTGAAAGGTAATGCGTGTGCATGTTTCACACCTCACACAATTCCGATTACTCATTGGATTGGTGAATCACCCAACCATCAGCAGCAGATACAGACGTGCACGGAGTATTATCAGGCACTAAAGGGACAAGGGGCTGCATACTTACATCTTCTGCAGCACCTGAGCCATCACCACCCCGTTTGTAAGGTCTTCCACAGTCTTGCAGGGCGCTTCCACTCCAAATGTCTGTATCTTTGGGGACAAAACAGAAACTGTAACAAACTGTAACAAGTTTAAGGTCCATCTAAAGGCTTGTATTAGCCCAGTGACCCAGCCTTCCTAGAAAAGGAAAGATGCAGCAAGCTTACAAGATCTTACCCCAGAACCTGGAATGCTGAAAAGCCAGTTACGGTTCCAGTGTTGTTCACACCGCTAAACACAGAGGGGACCCATGTATCTAGCCAAGTTCCCCAATCAATAAACACCAGTTTTATCGTGGTCTTTGGAATAAATACCGCATCTCTACAACACGGCCCAGGTGAACAGGAAGCCTGCGTCACACAAAGTCGGTAACCAAGCACCCTGCAATCAGCCTGGCTGGAAGGGATCTGACACTAGGCTGCCCATCAGTGGCGCTGTAGATGTCACCAGCCATGTGTCTGCAGAAGCACACCAAACACATCAGCGCTTAGGAATGACAGGCTCCAGGGAAGACGTGTTTCACATACCATGCACACCGCTGATTTCTAGATAGTAGTGTTCTCCTTGTACACGAAATGAGCAGATAAAACCTTTTACCAAGTACTCAAGTTAAACAGTAAGGCTACGTATCCTGGAATGAAACGGAAGTCTTCTCTCACCATGCGACACAATATTTATACTTTAATTTTTAAGAAAGTATTTTCAATACTTAAATCACATCATATCTGCAGTGACTTTGCTTCAGGCCACTATCAACTTTCATATCTGACATAAAAAGACAGCATATTAAGTTAAATTTAAGTTAAATTAAGTTAAGTTACCGTAACCATGAGGTTAAGGCGGAAACCGAAGTCAGTTGAAGATCTGAGAAGATCTGTTACGGAACTATTAGTATCAGAGATAACAGGGAAGCGGCTTGGCCAGCCACTGCCAGGAGCTTCTCTGCATCCCTTTCTGACACGTCACGTGTGCCAGCTCAGCCGCAGGTCCTGCTGTAACCAGAGATGTCACACGCGTGCGACGTGCCGCTACCTCTTCAACAGGCAGTATAGCTCAAATGATCCTGCTCGAGTTCCTGGCAGAGAATTGCTTACATGCAGCCCACAAGGGAAAGAATCAATACAGTCATGGCAAAAAAAAAACCCAAAAAAACCACAGCACGGGGCAGTCAGCGGCTTCCTCAAATCGCTCAGGCGGCCATGCTTCCCACGGCAGCCAGCTAAATGACAGCCCTGATATAAAGCGGACAGCTGGAGTAGGACAGCACACCCTGAAGCTGGGACCCAGCCCAGCTCACATCAGCGGGAAGCGCCGCCAAGCTGGCCGGCCCCCCTTCCGTTTCCGGACACGTGTCCGCACCGTGTGTCACATCTGCTGCCATTGGACCCAGCGAAAACACTGCACAAAGTTCTCATTCCATTTTCAAAATATTTTGAAAAATGGCGCAAGTCGGCAGAACACACTTATAAAACTGTACAGGAAGTGACATCACAACATTATTACTGTTCACACTTAGCTGGCTAACAGTAAAAATTGTCAATTAATCATTTTCTTATTACATATTAATGCATCTATTCCGGTTTGCTACAGTTACACCAAATGAAAAATGCATCAGTCTTTCAAAAAGCATTATGTAAGACAAATATACCTTTAAAAATGGAACAACCTTCAGTGAAAGTAATTTGAGCAATTATGTTAAACTACATAAACAATATGGCTGTTTGGGGCTAATAGCTGCACTGCATAAAATTTGGCAGTTAGTTCTGTTTTTATCCCTTGTGAAAGACTAATGTAAAATTATATATGAAGTAGTGCCAAGTGGGCTGTCAAGACTGTATAATGCTTATGACCCGCAGCAGCAGCACCAATGAGAAGCTAGACACCTCCTTAGGTCTTATAAAGACTGAGGAGTCTTTGATGTTGATTGTGCAAGTGTCCTGACATCAGCATGGCCAATAGGTTGTCATGTCACTGACTGCGGGTGTGTGACAAATGGCTTACAGTGTGCGTCCTAACATTTCAGATCAGAAAATATCAGTAGGCTTGCAGTTAGAGCTAGAGCTGTATTTCCTAAAAAATGCCAAATGCATTCTGTACTGGCAGACTGGTCTGCATTCCTCCTGAGTGGATCGATTTGCTTGGCTTATAAATAGATTTACTAGTTAGGTTCACTGGTTTCAAGTACATTTAGCTTACCCATATGTTAGAAATAAAAAGAATTGTTTGAAATCTTGGATTGAAAAAAATAATAGCGATAGATAATAATAACAAGCATTGACAGGCTTTTGTACACAGAGCCACCTCCTATGCAGGAGACGTAGAACTTACAGTGGATATGAAATGGAAGACACAGGAGACATTTTCACACAGAGAGCTATCCTTATACAGCTGGAAAAGCAAACAGAGGAGAACACGCCACTGGCAACACACAGACAAACACAGAGCGCCAAAGAGGGGCAGAAGACTGGCACTGTGCCCCTGACACACTACAGAAGGTAATTAAGGGATGGATAAGGGAACAGAAGGTGACAGACACAGACAGAATGGGGGGCAGAAGGTGGCAGGCAGGCAGACAGAATGCTTCAGTCAGATGCTATAAAGTGACAGAAAGGCATACAGAGGGACAAAAGGTGACAGACAGAGGGACAGATAGGGGACAGAAAGTGACAGAAAGGCATACAGAGGGACAAAAGGTGACAGAGGGACAGATAAGGGACAGAAAGGGACAGACACAGGCACACAGGCATAAAGAGGGACAGAAGGTGTCAGTCAGATGGAGAATAGAAAGACAGGGGACAGAAAGTGACAGACACAGGCATGCAGATTGACAGTAGGTGACAGTCAGATGGAGAATAGAAAGACAGGGGACAGAAAATGACAGACACAGGCACACAGGCATACAGAGGGACAGAAGGTGACAGTCAGATGGAGGATCGAAAGTGACAGATGGGAACAGACAGACAGGGGACAGAAAGTGACAGACAGGCATACAGAGGGACAGGAGGTGACAGTCAGACAGAAGACTGAAAGTGACAGACAGAGAAGGATAGTAGATGACGGTGACATGTCCTGGGCCCCATAACGACGGTAGTGAATGACCCCTTGTCAGTCTGACACCAAAGCTATTATTTTCTTCCACTCACGCTATAATTAGATAAATACCGTTATCGTTCAGTATTCAACACAAAGGGACCATCCGAGACCGTCTCCTTCATTCGCCGGCCGGTTAGCTTTAGCCAGCTAACCCCCATACAGAGCGCCGGTCTCCAGCAGGATAGTTATGGAAAAAGAGATCGACACGGGAAACAAGGGGGACGGGCGAAGCCCCAAAGCAGCCCTGCCCACAACCCGACTGATCATCCGCTAGCCGAGTAGCAGCGATTAGCTGCCCGGTTCTCCGGTTACGTCCATCTGTTGATGAAGTGGGAGACGCGGTTCCCCCGGTGATTAGTGCAGCCGGATCCCCCCCCCAGTTACAAATCACAAGCCGGGCCGAATGACACTCTCTTAAGCATGAAGGATAAGTAAAGACACGGCGGTATTTACCCATGTTAAAAGGCTCTCGCAGAGCTCCACCCGATCCACGGACTCCAGGGCGCTCATGGTGGACGGCTTAACCGACAGGATGTGTAGCCTGTTAGCCAGATGCTAGCCGGATGCTAGCTCGACGTTAGCTCACCGGTAGCTCGATGCTAGCTCGTCGTTGGCTCACCGCTAACTCGATACTAGCTCGGCGTCAGCCCACTTTATCTGTCAGGTAAAGTAAAAACAGGCAGACAAAAAGGCGAGGCGGCGGGCTTGGCGCTCGGGGGTCTATAGATACACCTCCGAAGTTCAGTTCATCTCCTGAAATATCTCACCCAGACAGTTAAACGTCCTAGTCTTTAAGAAACTGACTGTCTCTAATTATATTGATCAATATTTTGAAGCGGAGAGAAGAATGCCACCCCACCGGTTTCTGCGTCGCTATCCTTCCCCAGGATACAGGGGTCCTTCGGCTGCCACCCAGCACAGCCGCGGCCACCCCAGCCTGCTGCGAGCAGGGAACACAAAATTCAGCGGCCTTCTCCCCGAGCTGCATGTGGTCGGTGAATATTCATCAGTGTTTTTTAATAAAATGTGCTGGCCTGAAGCTATCGATTCGTAGTTATTTTTGGACCAGACAGGCAGTAACGTGAGACAGGAGCGAGTTGAGGCGAGGCCCCCGAAGGAGAGTGTCTGGGTTCGGCTACCTGCGGAAGGGACGGCATGACTCTACCGCAGCCAGGCACGGTCAGACTTAAATCTGGAGACCACGGTGTTTCTCTGACACGATTTACTATGAACACGAAAACAAGAGTTGATTGAGTGCGAAGTTAGCATACGACGCCAGTTTGATGTGGCGTTAGGCCCGGAAAGCCCCCGGTTTTTAAGCATTCGGCCACAAGCCGATCCTTCCTAGATCGCTTTACAGTATCAGTATGTATACGCGAGTGAACAAATGTGGCGAGTGCAATGTGCACTTTTAATTTAGATACGAGCATGTGTAATCTTCATAAATGTACAAACATTTAGCTCTATATATGATGGATTGGGCATTTAGGCGTGGTTAAATTAATGTAAAAGCAATTTGTTCACCGCTTTCTGTTTAGATGACAGTCGGTTTTCCAGTCAGATTGAAAGCACTAATAGCATGCTTCCGTATTAAAAAGTGAGTGGATAGCATGTCAGGACCAGCAGGATCTAGTATTAATGTGCCAGTTATTGCGGCGGCTGGTACCACAGCTTTTATAGGTACCTCCCTCAGTCCGGACCCTAACAAGAGCGTGCATGCAAGAGCAACGCTGCCGATACTTCCTAACTTCATGTGTTTCCTTCACATTAAATGTCCAGTTTTGCAGGTTATGATCGCATGTGATGGAGGACGTGAATCCCGTAAACGCCGAGGACTCCCTTATAGAAGGCGTTAGTGACTCTGTCCTCGCTGTAGTCGTTTTATGCGTTGCTTTTCTGGGTGGACTCGTGACACTTGTGTGCAGGTAATTAATCGAAAAGACAGCAGCTCCATTCAGGGTCTGCTGTTGCATTGTCCCATTTCACACTGATACTGTGATACTCCGAGCCTTTTGACAGTTACTTGTGTTTTGCGGTATGTCTGTAATAAGCCATATGTCTTTATTAATTCGGGTGCATGAATGATGATTGTCACTGTAAACCTCTGACATTAATAAACAATAGACGACTTGTTTTGAAGTACTGTCAGTCTGCCAATCAGAGTAAGGCCAGAGTTCAGGTTATTGGTTGAAGCAGGAAGTCGAACGGGCTGTGTCAGCTGATTTGTTTAATTTTTCAGAACTGAGCAGAATATCCACCCAGAGAACCAGGAGCATGTGCAAGCCATCCGTCAGCATCTTCAGTCAGACCAGGTACACGCTCATGTAAAATTTGTAAAGTTTGCAGGAAATGAATTTGCCTGTAGTTAAATTAGAATTTCAGTCATGTAGTAAGTAAAAGAAATATGGTTGAGAGCTTGGTATTCTTAAGAACAGACCCTGGAGGCAGGAGAGTGGGGAGGGCATAAACAAAAGGGTGGATAAACAAAATACGTAAAAGGGAGGGGAAGGTTGAAAGGCTGTGCTTTAAAATAAATGCTTCAGCAAGGCCTGCGAAATAAAGCTAGAATGTTTTCATGGTCGTACATCAGAAGATGGTAGAGAGGGTGAGGTGGCACCCCCTCCCCTTCCCTTCCCTTCCCTTCCCGAGGGCCTCTGCTCACCCCCTCCCTACAGGCACGAAGCAGGGAACAACCCAGGATGGGGGACCAGCCCATCACAGGGCACACTCACACACCATTCACACCTATGGGCAATTTAGTAACTCCAATTAGCCTCAGCATGTCTTTGGACTGTGGGGGGAAACTGGAGTGCCTGGAGGAAACGCTACGACGACTTGGGGAGAACATGCAAACTCCACACACATGTGACCCAGGCGGAGACTCAAACCCGGGGTGCCAGAGGTGTGAGGCAACAGTGCTAACCACTGCACCACCATGCCACCCCACACCTCAGAGCAAATGTCTAAAAAGCACTGTCACCTGTGTCCCCCCCGTGTCCCCCCCTGTGTCCCAGGACGTGCCCACAGAGCCTCGGCAGCCCTTCTACACAGACATGTCATGTCCCATCTGCCTGCAGCAGGCCTTGCTGCCTGTGGAAACAAACTGCGGCCATCTTTTCTGTGGTAGGTACTTACAACACACACTGCTTTTTCCTTATTCCCCTGACTTCAATAACTTGAGCTGGATTTTAAAGACCTACTCTCTGGGGGCTCTCTTATTTGCCTCCTGAAAGGCTTCTAAAATCCATGCTGGGCCACAAGTATTGTCTAGTAGATATATATATGTATTATTTCCTGTTTTTTCTGTCTCTTCTGTCTGCCAGTTTTCTGAGAGGCACAGTCTTGTTCATTTTCATCTCTTCTTTGAGGTTCCTGCATTATTGCATATTGGCAGTATGGATCCTGGCTGGGTGCCATTAATTGTCCCATCTGCAGACAAACGGTGAGGATTATGTTTTCTGTGAGGTTTCGAGTCACCATGACACCGCACACCTCAGAGTTCACAAGTGTCACTTTGGTGATTTTAAAGAAACTGATCCTGACGCAGAAATTCTTTACCGTGTGGGAATTGACTTCCTCACTGAGGGCGATTTCCCATTCGGAGACAGGTCACCCTGCTGTTCCACCTCTTCCGACATGATAGCCAGCCCGCTGAGGTTCCGGACGGTCAGCCGGATCCGGGCCGGATCTTGGAAGACATCAATGACTACAACCGTAGATTTTCAGGCCAGCCTAGATCTGTGAGTGTGTCCTTTTTCTTCACTGAAATGGCTGCTGAGCCTTAAGATGACAGTATAGAGATGATTCTTCCCCTTTGCCTCCCAGCTGATGGACCGCCTGCGTGATGTGCCCACCCTGCTCCGGCATGCCTTCAGGGAGATGTTCTCCGTGGGTGGGCTCTTCTGGATGTTCCGTATCCGCATCCTGCTGTGCCTGATGGGGGCGCTGACCTACCTGGTGTCCCCGCTGGACTTCGTCCCCGAGACCCTCTTTGGGCTGCTGGGCTTCATGGATGATCTCTTTGTCATCCTGCTGCTTTTCATCTACATCTCCATCATGTACCGTGAGGTGGTCACCCAGCGGCTGGCAGGCTGACATGGAGCCCTCGAGACTGAGCCCAAATCAGTGATTACTTCACAGCTGGAATTTTTGTCGGAGGAACCTGCGTTGTATCTGTGTGAGCAGTTTGAACCTCTGTAACTGTTTTTGCCAGATCCTGGTGGCATGAACCCCCCCCTCTCACCCTCCATGTGTTTTTTGTTTACTGCTTTCTCCCGGATGCCGATGGCTTTGAACCTGCTTGGCTTCACTTTTATGTTAGATTGTAATTAAGTTATTTCTAGAATGCCGCTCCACGTTAGCACAGGAAAAGAGCGTGGAGTTCAGGCTGCTCCATCCCCTCTAGACAGTGGGACTCCCCGCCTGCCGTCTGAGGCAGATGTTTTGAAGTACAGTTGAAGCTTCGTGAATTTGTGCGATGGGGAGATGTCGTGCTCAGGCTTCCTGGCAGCTGACAGTGTTTCTGCCGACGGTGCCATGACTGTTTTGGCAGTGATGACTCCCAGGGCAGTGCAAACATCTCAATTTTTATTTTGTTGTTTTGAAATAAAGCCTATTCCGAATTGTAACATGCATTTTCATTCACATATGCCTCATTTCATGAAACACAAGTCCAAGTGGCATCTCATCTTCTCCTATAATTGGTCGTGTTAATGTTGTTTTTTTGTGGTCCAGTCATTTAAAGCCTGATTGCAGTGGTCTTAATGAGGCTCTCGACTCAATCTAGTTTTGATGTGAAACATTTAAAGAAGTATATTTTCACAGATGTTTCAGTTTGGACCCCCAATAGTTAGAGATGGAAGGTTTAAATGAGAAGCTAATAAAAATTTAAGGCTGTGTTTGCCAACAGAAGCTTTATAAAATAAATTAAGCAACATATTCAATGAAAGGCTCTTCAAAAATGTTTATCATTTTTCATAGAGGGAATCGTTTAAATGAAAAATGTAAAACATGTTTTGTTAAACCGACGGCAAATATTCTTGGCCCTTCTTGATATCATGCATTTAAAAACCCCACTTAGCTAACCTAAAGACAGATGCTTGATGGCCTATCTGATGAGAGCCGTAGCCGAGCCATAATGAGAAAGTGAGCGAGGAAGGTCCTACCATAGACTTAGAATTATATATGTCTATGTGTCCTACCTTCGGCTGGGATCTACGGAGCGTCACGTGTCACGCCGCAGAAATGATGTAGCGAATGGGATGGCTGCATGCGGTGACGCTGCTTCTCTGTAGCGAATGGGAATCATGCATGCGGTGACGCTGCTCCTCAAAGGCAGTGAATTTCTGAGTGAGCGTCCAATACGAGCGAGCCCAGGGGAAATTGGAAGTGGGGCAACTAAATTAACTGCCTGTTTGTACAGAAGGTGCGGCTCCATTCAGGGTGGTGTCTAAATTAACTGACGGTAACACTTTACTTGAGAGGGCATACAGGGTTTCTAACTGTGGTCAGCTAGCTGTCGTGGGATTTTCAATTCGAGACAAGTCTGCACACACATGCATATTCATTTCCATGCATGTTTTATGAACTTGTAAATAGTCTGTAGGGTTTGCAGACTTTCCCAGCGCTTTTGATGTCGTTAATTTTATAATGGAATAATATAGATTTTCCACGGCAGATGCATGAGAGTTGGCAATCCTGTAAATAATGTAATAGGACAGTCTTCCTTAATGTATTGATTAACTGTAATGATCCGATGTTCGTTCGTCGTCAATCAATCACGACGGTTTGTGTATGCAGGGTTGCCAACTTTAACGCATCTCTCACGCTCACGCAAGAAATCTTACAGCAAATCTGGTATTATTAAATTATAAACAAAAATTGCTTCGTCAAAAGCGTTTGGGCAATTTGCAAACCCTACAGACTACAATGTCATAAAACTCATACATGCATGTAAATGAGTGCAGACTTGTTTCGAATTGAAAATCTCAGTTGACAACGTACCCTGTGTATTTCATATAGTTAGTGTATTTGTTCATGATTGGTACTTGAGTAGTAACTCAGTTACTAAATTACATGTGGCCCATCAAGTGAAGCGTAGCCCAACCGACTTTTAATACCCAAATTTGAACTCCCTTGAAAAGTGAGTCTCTTCGTCTGCCTTTGACGGTCTGTTACCCCAAATTCGTGAAATAAGATGAACTGGTGCGTTACTGAAAGATTGTCCAATATTTCTTCATCATAGTATTAGTTTTTTAATGAAATTTCCGTGCACGCTCACAAAATATTATTGATCGTTCAGTACACAAGGCGATTTCACACCATCTAGCGATGTTTTCAGCACTAATGAAGCGATTAATTGAATTAAAGCTTTTAAAAGTGAAACGTTGCAGTAGTAACTGCAGTCCAGGAGGGGGCTGATTACATCATAAACATATTTCTGTGTACTTACTTTTTTGCCGAGAGAAGTGAAATTCCTTCTTTGTCCACACGGAGGAGCCAGCAGATCAGAAAAACGCCGCTACATAATTTAGATGTATCTCACTAGGGAGGTCTTCTACAAGTCGAAATCCTGTCTTCACCTCAATCATCTGAGTGTCATTTTTATTGCAGGGTGGGGTTAGACACTGTAATTTTACAGAGGATGTCATGACTGAGACCTTTAATTTCACCCAAGCTCCCCGGATAGTGACTGTAAATATGGCCACAGTTCCAGCTGGTGATCGGTGGTGACATTTGAAAGTAAAACTGCATTATTTGAGCCACAGTGGACTGAGCTGATAAACACCACCTGTAATTCACACAGATGACCTAGGGGGCCGCTGTACATCCTGGACTCGCAGCAGTTTTTCCTATTGTGTCATGGATATTTCAGAAACAGAGAAACCTTTATTTCAGCCCTAATTCTAAATAAATCGGATCTGGCTGCTGTTTCTTCACTCCCCATCTTAAATCACTTTCACTGTTTCATGGATGGCTGCTCTGGGTGTTCCCATGGGAACTGGCCACTTATTATCAAAATGATAACTGTGCACATTTCATTAAGCTAATGTGTGTGCGCGGTGTGATTACAGCACCCAGCTGAAGCCAGTTCTCGGCCGAGCGCGGTGACGTCTCTGAGAGGCCATTGCTGCCTAATAACAGGTGTTTCGGAAGCAGGGGGAGGCGGCCAGGCCGGCTGTATGCAGATTAAGGACCAGGCGGTGGTGGTTTCCTGCGACGTTCTCCCGATTGGCTCAGGTAGCGTCACGCTGGGCATCCCGTCTGTGAGGATGAGCACTCCTTCCCTTCCGGCCGCCCACCAGCATGTGCTGAGGAGAGGAATCGTGGCCGCATTGAAGTTAAGGAGCCTCCTGATATGCGCATTAGCCTGGGTCCCAGGAAATGTGACTGTAATCCTGTTACTCTGTAGGAGACCCATGTGAAAGCTGAACGACAATCGATACAAACTTGTGGGGTGATGACACTTGGAAGCAGCACATGGCTGTTTCCAGGATCTGGGCTCCAGCTCTGGTGCTCCTTAATACAGCTTATATGACAGTGTGTCATTTTGCCGTGATATTGCTCTGGCGCTCTGCAGAGATGGTACACAGACAACTAACCTGACACACCCCTGAATCTCAATCTGTAGACTCCGTACTGGGGGAGGGTGGGAGCAAGGCTTAGACTGGGAGGGAAGAGAGGGCAGGCTCTGAAAGGGCAGGGTCCTCCTTACTGGGAATCATCTCCCACCTTCTAGAAGATTCTACCATAGGTATATCATGGATAATAAAGGCGTTTCTCTAGATAGCACTGGATCAGTAGGGTCTACACTCTCAGGGATTCCCAGAATTGCCCCCCCCCCCTCCGGATTCAGGATTCTCCAGTTCATTATCCGTGGTCCCATGCAAGCAGATGGCAGATTTGGTGCGTGTGGATGTGCCACTGAGACCACTGGTGGGTACCGCTCCCTTTACGACACGCCCGTCCCTCAGGAATGCGCCCCTGCTCAGAGCAGAACATTTACACCAGCTGCCGCCTCTCAGATGACAACGCCCAAGACAGCTGGGTTCAGTTTCACTCATAAATCACGCTGCGAGGACAGTTACACTCTATCTCCAAACCACGGAACGGCCTCCGGCCGATCAGAGGGCCTTCGCAGTGCGACTGCCATGTTATGGGCTCGGCTTGTCACCGCACGGCGGGATCCCTCTGTGACAATATGATGACGGCCACATGGCTTTTTAAAAAATGAAAAATAAATGAGCCGATGGCACCTGTGCTGATGTGTCTAAAAATAATACCGTGTGGCACAGGGCTGCAGCTGCCTGTGAGGGGGTGTCACTAATCATTTCTGTGACCCCCTTCTGTATAACACAGTGCGTTATGGTTTATATGGACGACTCCTGGGGTAATCAAAGAGGCAGCGTACAGGAATACAGTCTGTGTACATGTGCATACAGATGATTATTAATAAGTGTGTATATCCATACATCCATCCATCTAGGATTGGCAACTTTGGTCAGCTGGCTAGAGTGAGATTTTCAATTTGAGACAAGTCTGCACACGCATTTACATGTATGTAACAGTTTTTTTTACCTTGTAAATAGTCTGTCGGGTTTGCAAACCACCCCGATGCTTTAGATGTAGCTAATTTTAGGTTTATAATGGAATTATTTAGATTTGCACTTCTTGTGTGAGTGTGAGAGTCTGAAAATGTGACTGTCACGCCAGATGCGTGAGCGTCGGCAGCCCTGCATCCATCCGTCTGAGCCTCCTGAGCAGGCTTGGGGGGTCTGCATGCATGCATACAGATCATCATCAATAAGAGAGATACTTTCTGCATTCCTGCATCTGCAGCCCGTCCCTGATCAGGAGGCGTGATGGTGACTCAGTGGGCTTTGCGGCAGCCTGAAGCATGCTGTAATTAACGTGCGCAGACATATGCTGGGAGACTTCTCCTTTGTCAGGCTTTAAAAGACGAGCGTTCTGTCTCTGAAGCTACAGTACATTCAGCCCTGGATAAGCGAGGAACCGAGCCGTACCAGCAGCTTTCGGATGTCAGTCTGCCGACAAATAAAACTTCCTCATAAATTACAAATGAGGCCTTATTCTGCAGAGTGGAGTAAGCGTCGGACTAAACCCGGAAAACGTCGCCGCCGCTGCCGCTTCACGCGCACGGGCACATGTCAGATTCTGCAGGAGAGCAGGGACCCCGCACCACCTCCCGTTCCACACCACTCGTATTAAACGTGAAATTTATCCAGATGGGTTTCTACTGCCTTGCGGTTCTTGAGTTTACACTGTCCCTCCAGATGAATCCCTTAACAGGCAATAACCGTGTTTCCTTATTTGAGAGAAAAGCCTGACTCTTTAATGAAAACAGGGTCTAAAAAGTCGTTCTTTAGCAACATTTTGAAATTATTTGTAGGCAAAGGTGTAGGAGAGAGTTTGATATTGGGGGGACACAATAATTTAAATACAAAGATCTGTTTATTTTAAGTAAAGCCTTTACTTGCCATTTGCACATGCAGGAGTATACCTGTAGGTACTTTGGAATTCTTCTCTTTGCCAGTCCCCTCTTGCTTTCTATAGCTTGGGGGTCACAGCACTGGGTCAACCAATGTGCAGCAACCCCTGGAGCTGAGGA